AGATTGCAATAAGACAGACCAACATACAGACAAGTAAAGAGAGAAGATATAAAAAATGTGAGGACAGAAAGGAAAAAGTGAGAGAAAAAGTTAAGAGGAAGGAGAGATGGGTTGACGAAATGAGAGAAACATGAACACACACACACACGTATTGTTTTCTGCCAGTCGGGTGTCCTGCGGGCGTGGGTGTAGGGGGGGGGAGGGGTCGTATTGCTCTCTGTCTTTGAAATGACCTTTGCTGCGTACATTTGTTATTAGGCCCTTAAATGTCAACAACTACAACAACAACGACGATGACGACGATGACGACGACGAAAACAACATCAACAACAACAACAACAACAACAACAACAATTAAAACAACAGCAATAGCAGCAACAACAACGAAACAACAACAACAACGAAAACAACAACAACAACAACAACAACAACAACAACAACAACAACAACAAATCAACTACGAAAGCAACAGCAGAAGCAGATATTGTTGTATGACAAAAATCAGAATCAATTGAATCATTTAGCTACAGGCGTTGCTTCTTTGACTTTTTGAAAGCATCTGAGCAGATGCCAACTACGCTATGAGTGCCGTCTTCTGTTTCAGAACTTTGACTGGGAGAACAAGCTTCTCTTTACTTTCTTTTTTTTCTTTTTTTCCCCTTTTTCTTTTTTTTGGTTTCTTTTTGTAAAAAATTTTCTAGTCTGTTTCCAGTTTCAGCAAAAGTTTTACGGCACTTGCAAAAACATTAGTTTTTTTTAAGAACCGAAGATTAGAGGCGTTGCAAGAGAGTGACAAACACAAAAAAGAAAGAGGAAAGATCAGGACGACAGATATTTCTTAGGAAAGAAGCTACTCCAGAGCACACGCCAACCACCCTCGAGGAAAGATCAGGACGACAGATATTTCATGAACATCAGGACGACAGATATTTCATAGGAAAGAAGAAGCATGCTACCCAGGGCGCCACCCGCCAAACACCCTCCTCGCCAATGTGCTTTACAATGACTCTAAGCGGAATCAAAAGCTTATAGGCTACATCGAGGCCAGCTGTGTAAATGAACTAAGCTGATTCTTTTTATTCTTTTTTTTTCTTCGCATATTAAACAGTTTCTTAATCTATGGTATTGGTGGCATGTGCTCAACAAATATTTAGTTGAAATTCAACGAGTTCTAAATGTTGGGAAAAAAGTAAGAAAAAATGCATAATGTAAGCATAAAGTTAAAAAAGAATGAAACATGTTTGGGTTGGGTTTGTTTTTTTGTTTCTTTGTTGTTGTTGTTGTTGTTTTTTTTGGGGGGGAGGGGGGGTCTACACCGTTTGTGCTTTCTGTGTTTAGCACAATAACAGCTTTACGACAAAAATGTAAGCAAGGAAGTTTAATTTTAGTTTTTGTAAGAGTTTCACATGCTTGCAACACATTAAAGTCATAGCATAAGTTTAGAGGTGCTAAAGAGAGAGAAAGAAACAGAAAATAAAACCAGAGGGGACAGAATGGTAAGGGCCATGGATGTTTGATAGGAAAGAACGCTGCAGATCACAACTGAGTACCCACCAACCACCCATCTGTGTGCAAGGAACAGATTCAGAATGAAAATTGTGTCTTATAACATAGAGTGTATATCCACGGTCTACATCATCAACCCGATGACAAAATTCCGGAAGGAAAAAAGAGCCAAATCGTTTTCTCTATTCCAGAACCTGGTCTCCTCCGATCTCCTTCTAACAACATATCTATAATAACGTAGTTAGGGGCAACTCACGCGGAATAAAAGCAAAACACATTGGCAACTTTATGATCTGTTAGACAGACGCCGTTATGATCAGACTTATGGTGAGTCCAAGAGATACTGAGCCACTGTTATGAACAGTTAGATAACAATACTTTTATGATCCGTTAGCTTAACAACGGAATAATGATCACTTAGATAGACAACGATAGAATCAATTATGCTCAGTTAGAGAGACACCGTGGGGATCAGTTTACACAGGTTTAGTTAGATAGACGCCATTATGATTAGTTATGGTCAGTAAGAAAGACAACAAAGACATGGCTATGATCGGTTAGATACACACTGTTAAACCACCATTGCAATCAGTTAGACATTGGTATGATAGGTTAGATAACACAGTTGTGGTAAGTAAGACGACACAGTTATTGTTAGTTAGATGACACAGTTATGGATAGTTAGACCACACAGTTATGGTTAGTCAGATGACACTGTTTTGGTTAGTAAGATGACATAGTTATTGACAGTTAGATGGCACTGTTGAAGTCAGTTAGATGACACACTTGAGGTCAGTTAGATAGACACTGTTACATCAGTCAGAAACCAAGACACCGTTATAATCATTTAGATAGACTTCTTAATGATTAGTTTGATATAAAGAGAAAAGCATAGATACTGTTTTAACGAGTTGGACAATTGCAAGTCAAAAATGGACCTAGACGGAGAGATGGTTAAAAAGCAAGAACGACGGGGAACCTCTCCTCCCCCCCCC